GTTTTAGAGCTTGCCTTGCCATCCAGAAAATGAAAAGAAGAGACTGATCAGGAGCATCGTAGCTGTTCTACCTAAAGGTGTGTGAGGTGAACCTTATGTTTTCCCTCTGTCGGCTGTAAAATGGCTATTATTTTGCTTTGGTGTGTGATTTGGCATTTACAGTACATGCCCTGTCTTTTCTTTGGATTGGAGAATTTACTTGTCTTTGAGATTCCCTGAATTTGCTATCTGTGAAATGGATATTGGATCAGAATGATGTTGGTGTTTTTGTTGTTGTTGTTTTTTGGCTGACTGGATTGCCATCAACATAGTGTAGCCTTGTATCTGAGCATATTACTTTTAATTAACCATCACAGCTTGCCTACTTGGAAATTGGTGTTTTGTGACTGGTCATGTTTACCATGACAACCTGTTAATAGCCTTTATCTCCCTTAGGAGGAGGCTGTCCATGACACTTGCTCAATATTTCATGTATTCAGTTGTGAGTTATTGTCTTATATGAAGCCAATGAAGCCATGTTCAATAGTCAGTTGTTCTAGTTTGTTGAGAGTAAAATGAAAAACATGTTAGAATGTTTTCTACTTAACTGTGTGTTACAACCACTCTTTTTTCCACAAGGAATACACAGAAAGTGTATTACAGCATATCTGTAGTATATACATTTTATTTACCTAATCCATTCCAATAACCTTCTGTACATACTGATTTTAATCATATGAACCAATAAATATTCTCTATGATGACAAAGGCAATTGGTGTCGTCCCCCCCCCCCCAAAAAAAACAGACTTGTCAAAGAGATTAATTAAGTTTATATACTAGAATCCAGCAATATCAACAGATGTAATCACAAATTGAATTATTTCAGTCAAGTGATGTTGGAATTTAAAAGGAAAACCTGTAACTTGGAACATGTTTTCCTAGATTATATCTAGCCTGCTAACTGCTACATAACACCATGTGTTTTGATCACTTAAAACAATACCTTTTAAACAACATTCTCAAATCCCCAGCCAGCATGGGTCACAGTGTTATAGTAAATTTTTTTCCCCCAAACTCCCTTTTACCTAGAAGATAATGACAATGAGAAAATATTTTTATGACCAGTCATGAATTACCTTGATTAGCTATAACTTCGCTCATTCCACTGCCCGTGACTGTCTGGAGGAAGGCGAAGTAACTCCTCCGCAACATTTGTTTCTCCAAAGCAGCAGACTGGTCATTTTCTTCAGCTGGGCTGTGAAGGACTTCAAAAATAGCACGTAGCAAAGGCATAAACACTTGTTGCAGGAAGGGGGAAACCTGAGTCTATTGAAATATGAAAAATATAACACAAATGAGTATTTTTTACTATGAACAAGAAAAAAAAATAAAGGAATCAATTACTGTAAGTATTTTTCATTAGTTACTCTTTTGTACAGAAAGTTTATAAAATTAAATTGCTAAACTATGGCCTGGGTCTAAATTTTGCTCTCAGAATTTTA